TTTTATCGATATCTGCATAGCTTCCTTGATTTGCTTTCAGTGTTCATTGAGTCTTTCGGCTGGCGGTTGAACTGACAGGCGATCGGAGAGCTTCGCTTCGAAAGCCGATTTGCATGAATCACTGACATCGTATCGCGGATATCCGTTGTCGGTGGCTTTTTTCGGTTGTTTGCCAGGCATAAGGAGAACTTGGCTCGTAACAAGGCGTGGTCTGTGTCCACAACTGTTGACCAGTAAGAGCGGCAGTCTTGAATTGACTCCCTCCAGCGGTTCTTGATGGCGATGTGGTCAATTTGGGTCCAGCGCAGTGAAGAGGTTGGCGGTTCCCATGTAAGTCGATGGCGAGAAGTTCGTGTTTGACAGGAGCAATCCCTGGTCCGCGCAGAGTTGAAGTAGGCGATCTCCGTTGTCCGTCCGGTTGGCTGGAATTGCATGTGGTCCGCCAAGAAGTCTTTCTGATTCTTCCGGAGATCCCACTTGAGCATTGAGTACTTTGGAGTCGTTGCGAAAGATCCTGGTCGAATTCATCCTTGATTTCAGGTATACTGCAATCTGTCGGTGTATACACCGATATGATGAAAGATCATCGACGCTTCGTTCTGTAGCTGTTGACTGGAACTGAACCGTTGAAACGTACAGCGCACAATTGGCTACTGACTGAAATCCAGTCTAGAAGCGAGCGCCTAACCTTGGCACTTAGCCCAATCCCTACACCAGCAACACCGCGAGTTTCGGACGCCGAATCGCCTTACACACGAAGGGTGGAGCGTGAGGTTGAGGTTAGATCAGGAGAACGCAGAGAGATAATGGAAGTAGGGTCTTGTATGCGTGTTTCGGAGACACAAATACATCTACATTGAAAAAGTGTTTCGAGAGTTTTAACAACAGCTTGTTGGCCAATCTGATAGAGCGCGCGGACATTGAACGCGGCCAAGTGAAAAGGGGATTTTGGCTTTAAAAATCCTATAGCTTCTGATTGGCTGGCCTTGATGGTAAAACGCTGAGTGATAATCGATGAGTGGTGTAAATAGGAGGCATCTGGGATTATTCGGGGTTGAGAAGAAGAACTAGACAGATGGGAAAGATGGTTGTCCAAATGGGTGCCTAAGACTTTAGGGCACGACATACTTCGCGGTAGCACACATCGACGAAGGAGTTTTTCTTTGGGAACCCTAACCGGAGCCTTTGACTCAAGAGTCTGACCCACAAGGCAGTAGGGCAAAAATCCAACGCAGGAGCGTAAACAAAGCACCTATGTGGGAGCTTATACAGACCCCTCAAGCAAGGCCTTTGAATTTCGGTTTAATTTGTTGTTCGCTGGTGCGTTGATTGTCGGTCCGTTTTTCGGGATCAGCCCTTAGGCTCATTCACCTGATGAGACAAGCGGAACATGGACAGGACAGCACCTTATTGGCTGGGGGCTGCCCAGCTTGGGCGGGTGGTAGCTGTCCAATGAAGTGAGAAGACTTCTCCCACCATCAAGAGGAAGCCCCAGGTACCCCACTCCTACGTCCATCTAGCGGGTTTTTTCGACCGGTAAACTGTCCCTCACCGTGTTTATTTGCTGGAGTGGCCTCTCCAGGTGCGGGTGTGGATAGAAGGAAGGAATCCAGGAGGTGCCCAAGCAGCTGGCTTTGTGAGACTGAGCTTCGTCTGGCCCCTACCCGTTGACCTTTCAGGCATGATTGGATCTACGGCTGTGAGAAGCCATCCTGTGTAGCTCGCAGNTACTTCGCGGTAGCACACATCGACGAAGGAGTTTTTCTTTGGGAACCCTAACCGGAGCCTTTGACTCAAGAGTCTGACCCACAAGGCAGTGGGGCGCAAATTCAACGCGGGAGCGTGAACGAAGCACCCGTGTGGAATCTTCTGGAGACCTGTCACGCAAGGCCTTTGAATTTCGGTTACGTATCGGCCTCTGTCTACCTTTTGATCGTCACGTACATGATTCACCTCACTGGTCATACGAAGCTCGTCACAACCGCGCCATGTGGCTAAACTAACTATTGGTATGAATTAAACCGGTGAGATCTCTCTCATACAGCCCACTACCCGATCGGAAGTCAGCCTCCCCGCACGGTTTTTTCGTTTTTTGTACTCATGTGCAACATAAATGTGAATTCGACGCGACAGCGACCCAATGTGTGTGCGTGTGTTTGTTACGCAATGCTCCAACTTAATAACAATCACATTTCCTGTCTTGGTGCACTCGTACCATCGAGTTTGCTCGTGCTGTGATTTTTTTTTGTCAATTAATCCGTGCTCTTTGCCGAATTTAGTCTTCTCTCGACACAGCGTCACCACTACTGTAGACGTATTCTCTGCACTCTTTTGGTACACGAAACCTCTCCATGGGTGTCGTTTTCAAAGTCCCACCGTTTTGATTCTAGTATAATGGACGCACTCATTGATTGACAGTCACTTTGCTCCAACACGCACACAACACATCGCTTTATCTGATCCATGTAAAATCACATACGCACGCGTGGGCACAGCTCTATCTGGTCATGTTGACCTTACTGTTTCACTGTCTCTCCTCCCCCCACCCCCACCCCTAGGGGGGAGGGGCGTCACATCACTATAAAACAATTCACCTGTTACGTACTTGTTTTCCGTGCGTACCGTTTTGAGGCAGGACTGAACTACACGAGCACCACACGTTCGTGTTGTGTGAACTGCAATCAATGCCCACAGTTACTCTTGAACTCATTCACAACCTATTCCTCTTCAGTATTTTATTCGACCAAACGAATTTTTCTCTCTCTCCCCTAGCATCCGTGGTCTGTTCTGGAGTGTTGATAAGTGTGACCTTACTGTGTGCATTTTCGAAAGTGATTCCTAGCTAGATTAGTTGCAACAGAATGATAGACCTCATATCCAATCGTGTATATATTCATCACTGCATATTTCCTTTTCCGCCTGTAGCATTTCACTGGGGGTGGGGTGAATTTCGATCCAATAAACCATCCGGGGTTTTGTTTCATTACCCAATTATTCACCCTGTCTGTGGCTTTATCCTCATGCTCACTGTCGCTCATGCTGTTACGTCATCTTTCCTCCATGTTACGTTTGGCATGGGCTCCCTATCCTATCTCTTAGGTCCCGCTCTGCAGCGTGAACGCAGTCATCTTCTTATCTCCGATCGACGTCACACGTCTTGTCATCGCACACCATCCACTATACTGAATCGTAACAGTCGACCTCTTTCCCGAGAAATCAGCCTCTCTGTGCCGGTCCATCCGTTCAATTCTGTTCGCTATTCGTCCCATAATAATCTTGCACTGTCGTCTGCCTTGGCACGTCCTCCAAGACCGCCAACAACATCTGGGAATGGAACAGGCCACATCTCTAGCGATGCGGTTCCCTCGGGTGTCACCATTGAACGCGAAATTCCATTACGCACGGCTTCCACGCCCTATTTGGAATCACTTCTATCTACCACAAAACGTGATTTGTCCCTGGAATCGTACAATTCAGTTGCCAATCCAGAGGTTATCAGGAATACACGTAATTCCACTGAACAACATATGACTGCATCATCCTCCGGTACAGACTCTGTGTTTGTAACGCATCCACATGTACTGCTAGTGCACGATGACATATCGGACACGGTGGTGAGTGTCAGGTTTTTAATACGATAACGTATTCGTGTATTTCTCGACATCCGCATGCTTTTCTCAAAAAAGAGATCTCATTCACTTCACACCAATAATTTCGCATCACC